TGAAGCATTTCATCATCAAATACCCCCTGGATCCCCATCATCCCTCGGAGGTCATAACCAGTTCCCCACTTACCAAGCGGAGAAATGGGGCTGACAGGGCAAGGGACACCTGAGGTCCCATCAGGGCTAAGTGATGGTACCAGGGTGTTCACGGTCCTATTCTGCATGTGCCAGCCCCTGAACCAGCAGATTCTAGATTATTGTCATTATAGACACAAAGAAACCCTCTTTCTGTCAGGGAACTATCCAGTTCTAAGGAACTTCAGCATGGATCCAATGAGCTCTGACACTTGAAGGCTTAGAACGCTGACACAGGAAGAGGCGGAGCGGTTGCTAACCCAACCCCACCCCCTTTTATTGATGATAAAGAGTCTGTCTTTACAGCTAAAATCAGAAACCTAACAGATGAGCCACCAGCACTAGCTCAGGTTTCCCCCCTTTCCCATTAAACCTGCTCCTTCTCTGGGGCTTCCAGTCTCGGCAACGGCATCGCCACCAGATCCCTGAAAGCATCCCCCGCTCTGATCTGTCCCCAAGTCCTGCAGTGTCCACCTTCTAAGTGTCCCTGGCATGTGTTTCCCTGTGTAAGACTCCCGTCTTAATGCCTTAATACAACCCTCAGCCTGTCTGTCGCCCAGATAACATTTTACGATGTTTCTAGCCCGCACAACAAGGCAAGAAAAAGAAATAAAGGGCTGATTGGAAAGCAAGGCATGAAACCATCCTATTCTCAGAGAACATGATAGTCTATATAGAAAATCCCATGGAACCTACAAAATAGGCTGCTGAACCTACTAGCGGATGTTAGCGAGGTTAGCAAGGATACAGGATTAATATATAAAAACCCGCTGTGTTTCTACACACTTACAATGAGAAAGAGAGCAAGGATTGCGGACAGGGAAATCTGCTGCTTTAAGGTTTAAAATCAGTGAACTTGGCCTCCTCTTTAAAATAGCTTTTTAGTTTCTAAAGGAAAGAAGAGTAAACCCAAAAGAAGTAGAAATAACAAAAATTAGAAGTCAATGATATAGAAAATGAACAAAAAAAGAGAGAAAAATAATAAAATCACAAATTGGTTCTTCAAAAAAGGGAAAAAAATTAATAAACCTCTAGCTAGACTGATCATGAAAAAAAGTAAACATAAATTACCAATATCGGCAATGCTACATATCTCACAGATGGTAAAAAATAAGGAAATATTATTTTAAAAATTTTATTTCAGTAGATTTGACAACTTAGATGAAATGGACTAGTTCCTTGAAAGACAAATTACCTGTACATATTTTAAAAAATCAAACTTAACATATTCTCAGGAAGAAAGCTCCGTGCCCAAGTACCTTCAATAGTGAATTCCATCAAGCATTTAAGAAAGAAATAATTCTAACAAAATCTTCAAAAAATAGAAGCATTTGCCAACTCATTTAATAAAGCCTGCCTGACACCAAACCAAAGACATCAAATGCCAACATCTCTCATGATCGAAGACACAGAAATTCATAACAAAATATCAGCAAACAGAGTTTAGCAGTATATAAAAAGAATAATACTTTAGAACCAAGCAGGATTTATAACAGGAATGCAAGGTCATCAAGGAACATATAAAAAGGACCCATGGACAAAGACAATGGGGCAGGGGAGGACTGAATTAGAGGTGGGGGCTGGAGGGGCAGGGGAGAGTAATGGGGGGCAAATATGGAAGACTGTAATTGAAAAACAATAAAAATATTAATCAGTGTGATTCATCATATTACCAAAATAAAGGAAAAAATTCATAACGTCTTAATAGATGCAGAAAGGCATTTGACAAAATCATCTTCCCATTCATGATTAAAAATTTTCTGCAAACTAAAGAAGACACCTTTATCCACCTAATAAAGGGCATCTATGAACAACCTCTAGTTAACCTCATATGTAGCCATGAAAGGCTGTATGCCTTCCCCCTAACACCGGGAACAAGGCAAGGATGTCCACTCTAATCACTTCTATTTAATATTGTACAGAGGTCCTAACCCAGTCCAGATTAACAAGAAAAAGAAATAAAAGGCACATAGATTACAAAGGAAGAAATAACATTTATTCACAAATGAATTAATCATATGCATGGAAAATCCCAACAAATCTACAAAAAAAGAGCTTCTAGAACTAATAAGGGAATCAAGCAAGATCACATGGTACAAGTTCAGAATTAAAAAGTCAACTGGATGTCTATAACTAGCAACAAATGACAGGAAAATGAAATTTAAAAATACCATTTACAGAGCATAAAAATGAAATAAGAGATAAATAAGGAAAACATAAATAAATAGAGATAAAAGTCATGGATCTAACTCAGCTTTGTTAAGATGCTCACTGTCTCCAATCTGATCTGTCGATTCAACACAATACCAAAGTCCTAGCAAGATTCTTTGTAGAAATGGGACAAACTGATTATAACATTGATCTGAAAATACAAAAGACCTATAGTAGCCAAAATAATTCTGAAGATAAACTAAGTGGAAAGACTGGCATTACTCGATTTCAAGACCGACTTTATAGCCTTCGCTTTATAAGCATAAGAATAAACACACAGATGAATGGAATAAAAGAGAGTCCAAAAACATACCAAAACATATATGGCCTACTGATTTTCAACAAAAATGCCAAGGTAATTCAGTGGAGGAAATGATGATCATTTCAACAAAAGGAGCTGAAACCAGAATATCCATATAGGAAAAAGCAAATTTTGACCCTAACCTCGTACCATACACAAAAACTAGCTTGAAATGGACTATAGACCTAGATGTAAAAGCTAAGACTAAAACCTCTAGAATAAAACACAAAGTATAAAGTCTCCATAACCTTTAATTAGGCAAAGATGTCTTGGATATCACGCAAAAGCATAAACTATAAAATAATGATAAATTAAACTCCATCAAAATTAATAACTTTTGCTCTTCAAAAGACAGTTAAAATGAAAATTCAAGGTTAAGACTTTGAAAAGTGGGAGCAAATATTTACAATATGTGCACAAACACATCATAATAGATACACAAAAGACTTGTACACAGAGTATATAAAGAACTTACAACTTAAAAATAAAATACTAATAAAAATGAGCAAAAATTTTGAATAGACATTTAATAGGAAATAGTCAAATGGCCAAAAAGCATATGAAAAGATGCTCAACATCTAAACATCAGGAGGTATAAATTAAAACCATAAAGAGATAAGCTACACATCTCCCAGAATGTCTAAAATTCAAAGGACCAACAGAACTAAGTACTGGCGATGCTGTGGAACAAGCAGAACTCTCACTGCCCGCCAAAGGGTAAGTGTTACAACCACTTTGGAAAACATTTTGGCAATTTCTTATAAAGTTAAACATACATCTACCATATGATCAAGACTCTTCCTCCTCCTCCAGTTCTTATGTACACGATTAGTTGTGGCAGCTTTATTTATAATGTCCCCAAACCGGAAATAACCCAAATGCCCATCGATTGGTGAATGCATTAAAAAATTGTGGTATATTCACACAATGGAGCACTTCTCACAAAAAAAAAAACAAAAAACACACACACACACCCAACGAACATGGATGAATCTCAAAAACATAATTCTGAAAGAAAAAAGAAGTCTCCAAGAAGCACACACTATAGGATTCCATGTATGTGAGTTTTTTGAACAGGCAAAATGAATCTGTGATGAGAATGCAGATGAGCAGCTGCCCAGGCCAGGGTTTAAGGAGACTGACTGCAAAGGGGCCCAGAGGAACCTCTGGGAAGTGATGGAAACACTGTTCTCATCTACCTGATCTTGAAGGCACAGCTGGAATCCTATTTAAATTCAGCCTCGCAAAGTTGCTAGAGAGAGAGTTGCAGAAATGGGAAAGAAAGCTATTCCACACCGGGAGCAGAGACACACGAGTGGGAAACGGAGAGGTCAGGATGGGGAACAGCTGATAGTTTACCTTATTTTTTAAAATTAACTTAATTGAAACATAATTTGTATATAATAAAATGCATTCACTTAAGTTAATGCTTTGATGAATTTTAAGAAATGCATAGACCCACATGACGCCATCCCATAGAGAGCTTCTTTTTAAAAATGACCACTTCAAGCTTTTTGTGTGCTTTATAAGTTGTAACTTTATTGCAAGTTTTATGATTTAAAATTAAAACCAAAACAATATGCAGGCAATAAAAGAGACTATAAAAAGCACAGGCCTTGAAATCAGCTCTCATTCTAAATCCGACTCCTCAAGCAAGTCACTTCATTTCTCAAAACCTCAGTTTCCTCATCCATAAAGTGGGAATAATAATATTGATACAGTCAACTTTACTGTGAGGAATAAAAGAACTAATGTTAACCTCCTAGCACAATGCATGGAACATAGCAGGACCAATAGCTGGTACTAACCACATCACAATTAGACGGGTATTTGTTGTACAGCTACCCTCAGAGATATGGGATGGGCCGTGGAACCCGTTGACAAAGCCTTTGAAACAATCCTAAATGCAATCATTAAAGACTAACCAAAATGACAATTCTGAATCCAGCTACCCTACCGGTTCTGTGACACAATGATGGCAAAATATCCCAAGTATTTCATGCTAAAATATATTGCTTTGATATGGAATGGGTGGTTTGAAAATTGATTCTGGGACAAATTTAAAGCAGGCAGGGAGTGGAATGCACCTCCAGGACTCACCCAAAGTCGCAGTCCGCCTGTGGGCTCCGCCCCCGGCCCCTGCTCTGTCCCCTTGGCTCCCAAGCACTGACCCCATCATGCAGCTCCAATGTCAGCGTCCAAACTGTCTCATGTCAAGACCCACTTCTTCAGGCTACCTACCTGTCACCCTACCTGTACAGCTCTGCCGGGATCACTGCCAACACCCGCTGCGCCCTGTCACACACCCCCTTGACCCGTCTCAGCTTCCGGGGCACCCCTGGCCCCAGCTCCCAGGACACGGCTGCAGCCACAGTGTAGTTCAAGGGCTGTGGGGATGGCGCGGGCCTACCTGAGCCGCGAAGAGCTGGAACTCGTCGGGCAGGATCCACGAGCGAGGGTAGAAGTTGTACTCCTCCGGGAAGAGGCTCTGCATGATCCTCACCGCTCTGCTCAGAGTGATTTTCCGCACCATCTCGGTCATGCCTGGAGGGAGAGATGGGTGGGGTTTCACCACACGGCCACCGGCTAGGAAACAGCCATTCCTTGGGGCTTTTACAACCACCCGTATTCACTTTTTCAGACAAGACTTAAAGGTGAGTTGCTACCCACAGCGGTGACTTGTGGTTTGGAAAGATCCACCAAACCAATGAAGAACTCGAGGTAATAGGTGAATTTTCTTTCCTAATAACAAGGAAATATCAGTTTGAAGGAATCAGTTTCCACCTACCTTATTATTCCATTCTTTGTCGGCCCCCTAGATAATGGATAGAGAAGCATCATATCTTGCACTGAAAACCTAGTATCATTTTTTAAATTTGGGACCATCATACACATTTCTGGGATTCCTTCTGTCTTATACCCTAGAGAATATTACCTAGTGGTCTCTGCTTACATTATGAGAAGCTTATTTAAGTTGCCTTGTTTTCATCTTTCATGACTATTAAAGGTATAAAGTAGAAAAATATATACCTTGCCACATAAAATCTGTCTCTTTTAAATAAGGACAGGAACTGGAAAAGATGTCATGGCATAATTTATAGTTTAAGGGTCGGGGGGTGAATAGGATCCACAGGGTTCCTTTAGTTCTAAGTATCAAAACTTACATTGGTCAGGTCTCACTAATTTATCCAGAGGGGATTGAAATGTCTCACTTAGAAAACATCTGCAATGAATGGGGGGCTTTTCTTTTCTTGTCATATCTTTAATAACTCTGACAAGAGAAGAAACTGAGTGTTTACCTTAGTTTTAAGTGAATTATTTTACATTGTAGCACGCTTATTCCTTAAAGGAAATATTGCCGCTAAAAATGGAGACGGAAAGAGGCTTTCACCCTGAAAGAGCCACACAGTTCCCGTGAACACTGGGAATTTGCTTAGCAGAGTTACTTTTCATAGAAAGACAAAGTTCCATGTCAGCTTGGCATGTCCAAATTACCACACCTTCCAAACGGACACAATCAGAATGAACGAGGTTTCTCTAAATTCCCCTCTTCAGGAAGCAAAGGGTAAAGGTGGGAGAGTGAAGGTTTTAATAACCTACTTCTTGCTTCCCGTGGCATACTTAAAAGGGCAATACATCTAAAGATCGCAACTTCAGGATGTCAACGCCTTGGCTCTTCGTTCTTGTTTAGAAGGATATAGAGAAGGATTAAGCAAGAAATAAAGGAGCTTAAAAAGTACTAATAAACTACGCTGTCATGGGGACTCTTCAACATTACTACCAAAAACTCAACTCACTGAGGACACCATTCTGATCTTCCCAAGAAAGAAGTATGAGTTCGGAAAATTACAGCTATTCCTTTTTATTCCCCTGTGAAATTAGAAATTTGGAGTTATCAACACTGGAGCTGAACACAAAGTGCACGAAAACAGGCTTTCCACTTTCTTGGAAACTTTTCGCTTGTGTCTGACAAACATTTTCATTATAGTATTCAACTAAAAACTTTCCGCGCTAACTGTGACGGAGCCCCTTACACCAAGTGACAGCGACTCCCGACCACAGCACCGTGGCGTCCCCTGTACTTCACGGTGCGGTGACAGGGGAAGTTTCCGAACCCCCTCAGCTGCTCAGAAGGACACACGCCCACCCAGAGAGAAGTGCCGTGAGAGCAGGAGCACGATTTGAATGTTCCGGCAAAGTTTCGTGAGAACCAAGGCCCAGCGAGTTAAGGAAATGCTCATTGCAGCCTGCAAGGGCTCCTTCTGGGATGTGGATCAGCGGCCCCTGCACAAGCTGACAGATCTGCTTCCAAGGTTACCTCTGTATCTGTCTCCAGGTGGTTTTCTGCTGGAAACAGCCAACGTGAGAAGCAGCCCTACGGAGCAGGGGCTCCTTCTCCCAGACACTCCCAGCCCGCTGGCTACAGACAGCTCAGCCCTGGCCCCGGCCCCGCCCAAACGCCCGTCTGCAGAAGGCACCTGCGTAGACCCTCCTCAATCCACTGACCACCAAAGCCTTTGTCCCTCGACCATATCTTGGCCGTGTTGCCACCCAATGCTGCCAGGGAGAATGTCCCCCACCCTTTCCCGGACTCCATAAGGAAGCTGCTGGCGTCCCCACCTCTGGCGGTGGCTCAGAGGCAGATGGGAGGCGTGCCATCTTCTCTCAGTAAGACACTGACAAGAATTGCTGACCTTCCAGCTGGGCCAGAGCCCGTGTTCCCAAAGTAAGTACGTGAATGGGAGTCGGGGGGTCATCGCCAGGCTCTGCTGGCTCCAGATACTACCTCCCTTCTCTAAGCAGCTGTGGCACCTGGCCCGACCTGTGACCCCTGCCCTGGGCCCTGGGCCCTGCTCTGACCTGAGATGGAAGCTCCGGCTCTGACATCGGTTCCCCTCAAGATTGGGCACAAGGCAATCTGTGACCCCAACTTTGCAGTCTAATTAAATAAGGAGGATTTTAACTGTTTTCTGAGGTTCCACTGCTTTGTCCCCAAATTTTGGAAACCTGTCTTTTGCTCCTGGTACCTGAGGGGCTACCTTAGCAACACCTCTGCCTTGTTCTCTCCAATGTTCCTCCTGTTTCCCCGACATCTACCGGCGAGTGCGAGGCTCCTCCTGCCTGCGACTTCGGTGCCCACTTTCAGGTTCCCTGGAGCCTGACCGCCTACCTGGGTTTCTCACCAAGGCCTATCCCTAGACGTTCCTGTTTTGGCAGTTCCCCTGTCAACTAGGAAAACCCCCTAACTCGGGCTGCGGCTCTCACACCAAGAGCTTGCCTCCTGCTCCCTCTTCCGGGCCTGGGTTCTTCTGCTACAGCGAAGTGTCAGGCCTCGTGGGTCTCACCCCGTGTGGAGCTGCCCAACGGTGTAACAGCTTGATCCTCAGGCTTGCCCAATTAAAAAATAATAATAAAAATAACATAAAATCTGAGCCGTGTTGGGAGCATCATTCAATACAAGTATCATTTATAACAAAAACACATTCTAGTCATCAGACAGCAAACAGTATTCAGACCCATCCTCCTCTCCCCACTCGCATCCCCCCTGGTAAGTTCACCTTTGCTTGGACACCGCAGCAGCCTCTTAGCTCTCTCTCCACTCCCTCCCTCAGCATTCTACCCACCTCCAATGCACCCCCCTCTGGCTGAACTCTCTCAAATCTAAGCTGGCCCACGTCACTCTCTGGTTTAAAAATTCCTCAGTGGCTTCCCATGCCCTTTTGTCCCTGCCTATTACACTGGACCCTTTCTAACCACCATGGGCGGCTTGCCCTTAGCTGAGTGAGCAGCGTGCTCGGTCTACATCTTCGCATCAACTCTGCCCCCTTGCTTTGCAGGAGGTTCCGTCCCACCCATCCCTGGAGGCTCTGCTCACGTGTCAGTCTTCCTTCCCCAGGATCTCTCACCCCACCTGCCCCCAAGCAAATCTGAGTCAGGTCACGTGCCCGGCCCAAACTCCCACAGCATCCCAAGCTCCCTCTGGCATTAGCACTTATTTTGGATTACACCTCCCTCCCTACATGCCTTCCTCCTTGTCTTTGTGTCTCAGCCCAGACCTGCGCTTGCCAGATGGCTGCCCCGTGGGTCTCTCCCTGGAGCCCCCGCTTTACAGAAAGTCCCCTCCCCAGGGTGGCTCTCAGGCACCACCCACCACATGCTGCCAACATCTCAGACCCTGAAACTCACCAAAAGACTGTTGTTTGTAAGCTAAGACTTGGACAGTTCTGGACTTTGAGACACATCTAGATCGGATTATTTTTATAGAAAGTCTTAGTTCATCAGTTAAGATACAATAACATTCGAAGGAAATTGCCCGTTGAAAAGTGGCTAAACTCTAATGTGCTGGCACAAACAAAATAAATTACTTCCATATGCGTATCTAAAAGTTTTCCGTTCATTCAGCGTGGGAAGTGTTTATACTTGCCTGGCACGTCCACTAGGACTTACTGTAAGTAACATCCAGGGCATGCGAAATGCATTTTTTAAATAATGGGACATATGAGAGACAGAAGATAAGGTGGGGCAGAGACGGGAGCCAAAGGACAGGCTGTTCCGCAGCCACCCATGGCTCAGGATGGCCGTCTTTCTCAGAGCAGGGGGTGTGGCTACGCGGTCCTTCTGCCCAGGGCCCTGAGAGCCTGCTTTGTCATTAGAGCTAATTAGCTGCCGTTAGTACAGTGGAAAGTATATGTGCTAATCGCTGGCATGCGGGGCATGGGATGGGACAAACCTGCTTCTTTGAGGTGAATATTCCTACATCACCTTTAACGAAGCCGGTCCTGACGGGGTATTTTTCTCTGTATTTCTAATTTGTGTTCCGAATGTAGAGACACAGCCAGACTTCTTTCCTTCTCTCAGCCATTACACGAGGCAGGAGCCGAGGGGAAAACGTAAATGAAGCCTCATTTGGTGAGTCATGTCTTAGGAACTCTGTCCTCATTCAAAGAGTTGTTCTCTTTCAAATTATGTTCTCCTGACATCCCAGTGAGTTCTTTAGTGGCATCAAAAAGTCACCTTTTCGGAGCAGCAAGATAGAGAAAATAATAGCTATCCCATTAAACCGTGCGCAAGAACCCTGGCTGCAGGCGACGTCCTTGTCCTGTAACAGAACCCTCTCTCCTCCTCTAAGGACTGATGTGACCTTGGGTTAATTTTCTAGCTCCATTCCCCTGGAAACCAATAAAGTAGAAAGTTAGCTGTGTTACTAGAAAACAAAGCATATGGTTAAAATGACCCCCGATTGGCAAATTGCATAAATACCTGGTAGGAAGCCACAGTTCCAGGCTTTCCCTGAGTGTAGTGATGCGTGTCACTGAGCATGACCCCGGCAGGGACCCTGGAAGCTCTGCTGTGGAGTAGCTACACGAGATATTGGCTCCTACGGGTTCTTTAAGCCAAGACAGACTCACATCCACCCATGTGGGCCCTGTCTCCTTGCCCCTGAACTTGCACCTGAGGGGCCATGCACTAGCACCTGAAACCCCTGCAAAGACCCCACTGGGGAGAAATGCCCGGCACTGGCCAGTGGGCAAGCTGCATTTCCTGCCCTGGATCCTTCTAAGAGCACCTGAGCTGTATGTGGCCTGGGGCAACTTGCACACTCAGTGGAAAACTCCCTGGCAGACGTGGCACAACCAGCCAGTGCATGAATATCAGGTGTTCTGAGAGGTTTTTCTTACAGTTGTGGCATGGACCACCAAAGGGAAAAAAAAAATGGATTGATTCTCCTTTTTAAAATAAGCATAAATAGTATCATGCTAAGAGAAAACACCTTATATTCAGGCAACCACACTGACTGCAACTATGTAAAAATGATAGATAAACAAGGTTGAGGTTTGGGAGGAAGTATATTAATATCCACTCGGTGGGTTTGTTAAATGAGGGATAGAGTTCAGGGTGATGATGCATTTTTTAAAATTACTGTATTATAACATGCTTTGGACAATCTGTTCAAATTTCTGAAAATCAGCGGAAGATCCTTCGGCTATGCTCATACCCGGCTTAACCAATGCGCCTTCCCCCACTCCGCACCTCACCCCCCCGCCCCCGCCCTGCCCCAGGCACTTCTGCTCCCTGTAACCGCCCTCCTCCCTTTGCCATTAAAAATAATGAATAGCAATCACAGCAGAAGAGGGCAGCAGAGGTTAAAAGTAAAATGAAAAGGCACAGAGGGAGGCTGGGAGTGAAATGAGGGGGCATCTTACAACGTGGGCAGCCACCTTCCAGCCCGGAGCCCCCAGCAGGTTAGTCTCGCTGGGGCAACGGCCCGGGGTCCGAGTGGAGCCACCCAGGCTGGCTCCCAGGCGGGTGCATTTGGTTTTAAAAATGGCCCCTCCAGATACGATCCTTAATGAAAATGAAAACGGCGAACCCCATTCCTGCGACATATTCCTCGAACTTTATTTCGTACTTCGTTTCCTGCAGATTATTTAGGTGAAATGGTCTTTTTTCCCCTTCACTTTGAGACTATAGTCCCCTCATGACACCCTCCTGTTATATCTCTAACCAGAAAGGCGAAAATCATGCACTCGCAGCGGCAGAATTAGACCAGGAGAGCCTGTCTCTTGATGTTTTTGAGCCTCTGACCTTTACACCTTTGGTGGGTGAAGTCCTGATCCCTCTGAGTGACGCCCCTCCCAAGGTGGTGGCCCCGAGGCAGAGTGGCAGCAGGTTCCAAGTGAGAGGCCTGCATCTGACACTGTCATGTTCCTGAAGACAGATGTGCCCTGAGACTCAGCCCCAGAAGCATTTGTAAATGCCAACAGCAACAGCGGATACCTGGGAACTTGTTCACTTGACCGGAGTATATGTCATTGTCGTGAAACGAAACACCATGCCAGTAGATGTCACATGGCAAGCGTCGACCGAAGGGGAACTAGAAGAAAGAGAAAAAATGTGACTAAGAACGAGCAAGAGGAGCAGCAGCCATACTGATGTCTTCTGTGCACGAATGCCCAGCAGCCGGGCACACATCACGTGACTCGGTCCTCATAGTACGCACGTGACATAGCTGGTATTCTTGCCTATTTCATAGGTGAAGAAACAGGTTCAGACAGGTGAAGTAATTTGCTCAGGGTCACAATCAGAGAGGGGTAGAGTTCTGATTCTATGTGGCAGGCACCGTACTCATGGCTTTACCCTTTTATTTTAATCCACATAACTACCTAGAGAGTATTCTTCCCATTTTATTGATGAGAAAATTGAGGCTGAGAATGGTAATCTGATAGGCCCACAGTCACACAGAGCTGGTAAGGAGAGAAATCAGGATTTGAATCCAGGTCTATGTGGATCCCAAGTCATACTTCTCTTTCTCTGAAAATTGTAACTCTTAACCTAGTCCCCAAAGAATGAGCTTTCACAGTCTCTCTCTCTCTCTCTCTCTCTCTCTCTCTCTCTCTCACACACACACACACACGCATGCACGCACGCACACACACACCCAGAGTCCACGAGGGCAGGATGCAGGATGCATTCTCCAGTGCCTAAAACAGTTTCTGGCATTCAGTAATGACTTTTCTAAAAAAATCTTTACGCCAAGGACATTTTTCTTCACTGCTTCTAGAGAGAGGGGAAGGGAGAGAGAGAAACATTGATGCAAGAGAGAAGCATTGACTGGCTGCCTCCCGTACACTCCCAGACCAGCGACTGTAATGCGTTCAGACAGCAGGCCACGTGCACCCACACCAGGACCAGGGATCGAACCCACAACCGAGGAATGTGCCCTGACCAGGAATCAAACCTGCAACTCTTTGGTGATGGAAGGGTGCACCAATCAGCCGAGCCACACTGGCCAGAGCTCAGGATAGACTTTTTAAATAAATAAATGAACAAACAAGGAACGGTCATCTGACTCAAGATGAGATAACCAGATTCTCCCAGGAATTTGGAAATCAGATGCCAGGCAGCCTCGGCTAGCCCTTGAACTGGAGGTGATAAAAAGCCACAGCCGGGCAGCTGTACTTGGCTGTGTGCACACAAAAGTGAAGGCAGCCAACCAGCTGAGAGAGAAAAAAGGAGCAGGTGCAGGGACAGAAGTGGAGGTAAGACCCTGTGGCCCTGGAGACAGAGCCTGGGGGACCTCGGTTCTTAGGGCTTCTAGATCCGAGACGCAGACCCTTCTGAGCCCCGCTGTCCTACCTGTCCTTGGCTCCTAGAAGACAGCTTTGTACCCTTAGGACACGTCTGCTTTTTGTACAAGCTACAGGGTTTCCCTCGCTGAGACAAAACCGCCTGCTCTTTTTATTACAGCCCAGCTTATCAAAGTAATCAAATTTGATCAAATTCTGCACTTACAGAATTCTTATATCAAAGTTCCCACACTCTGCCTTTACAGAATGCAGTTCTAAATCTGTAACGTGGATGACCCACGTGTGTTGAAGGAAAAAGCGGGGACATGTTAGTTCATATTTAGAACCTGCTTGTTTAAAGTCCCGTTGAAGAGAAATGCCAACACATTAAATAAAACCATTTGATCTTCCCACTCTGAGACTACGGGTGATCAGAAGTTTCATCTGCTCCAGGTTGAGAGGGCTACATCCCGATGGAAGAACACAGCGTAATTGATGGAATGGTGGTGACCCGATGCTTTCCAACGATCCCCAATTAAAACGAAGGCAAACAGACTCAAGCACTGCACATCAGGCACGTTACTTCAAAGCTGTGCCAAAGTGAGGCATATGTTACACTCTATTTGCATTAACAAGTTCCGTCTATAACTTAAAGCATTGCACTCATTTTCCTTGCATCCAATGGTCTGAAGTTACTAATTCAGTAGTCGGGAATACAAAGGGATACAGCATATGTTATTTTCTTCCTACTGTTAAGGGCCGATATGGAGAAGGGGCATTAACTTAACCAGGGAGGTATCTCTTGAAAGCACACCACCCAGCAGTTTTCTCAGATCCAAACGGCTACGCTGCTTGAGATGCGGGACCAACACCTGCTCCACGTCAGGAGACAACTGATGACTCCTTATCGCCCTGATGGTCACCCTTCAATCCTCGCTGCCTTTGTGAATCCCAAATCAACCCTTCATTCAGCAGTGCACCTGGCTCATTTCGTTCTGAGAAACTGCCTTTTAAAAAATGTGTTCACTCGCTCATTCATTCATTCATTCATTCAATCATTACCATGTGCCAGACCCTGTACTAGGTACTGGGAACACAGAGAAACACAATTTTAAATAGGTCCCAGGACCTCATAATCCCACCTCTTCTTAAGATCTTGTAAAAACACTGCTTAAACAGCTAGCATCATCCTCGATGGAGGAGGACTGAAAGCTTCTCCTCTAAGATCAAGAATGAGACAAGGATGCTCATTTTTGCTGCCTCTACCCAACATACTACTGGACATTTCAGCCAGAGCAATAGGCATGAAAAAGAAATATCCAAACTGGGAAGAAGTGAAGTATCTGTTTGCTTATGACATGATTTTATGTAAAGGTGGAGGTAAGACCCTGTTGCCCTTGCATTTCTGGTCAAATGATTAAATATTGTACACACACACAAACGCAGACACATAGCTGTTAGAAATAAAAAATTCAACAAAGTTGCACATATGAAATCAATACACAAAAATCAATTGTTTTCCTATACACTAACCATAAACAAGCCCAAAAGGAAATTCATAAAACAATTCTATTCACAATAACATCAAAAAAGAATAAAACATCTAGGAAATAACCAAAGAGGCAAAAGCTTTGTGCACTGAAAATTACAAAATGTTGTGAAAAAAAATTGAAGACACAGGCATAAGTAAAAAAGGCACCCAATGTTCATGGACTAGACAACTTAATATTATTAAGATGTCAATGGTTGGTATAAACAATTCATATAAAACCCAAATGAGTTGAAAACTTATGTCCACATAAAAAACTGCACACAGATGTTTACAGCAGCTTTATTCATATTTGCCAAAACATGGGAGCAAGCAAGATGTCCTTCAGTAGGTGAATGGATAAATAAACCATGGTTTGTCTAGACAGTGGAATATTATTCAGTAATGAAAAGAAATGACCTCTCAATCCATCAAGAGACACAGGGGTGGGTCTTAAATATCTAAAAGTATCCTGGTGTGGGATTTTGATAGTAGGGGAGGCTGTGCATATGCGGGACAGTGAGTATGTAGGAAATCTCTGTTCTCTCAGCTCAGTTTTGCTGTGAACCTATTACAGCCCTAAATAAAAGTAATAAAAATCAAGTTAAAAAAGCATCATGGTACTGGCACAAAGGCAGACATATGGACCAATAGAACAGGGTAGAGAACCCAGAAATAAACCCTTGCGTTTATGGTCAAATGATTTTCGGCAAGGATGGCAGGGCTACTCGACGGGGAAAGGACAGCCTTTTCAATGACTGGTGCTGGGAAAACTGGATATTCACGTGTGATAAGAAAGATGTTGGACCCTTACCTCACACCACTTACAAAAACTAACTTAAAATGAGTCAAAGGCCTAATCATAAGGGCTAAAACTATAAAACTCTTAGAAGAAAACATAGGGGATAAGCTTCATGACATTGGATTTGGCAATGATTTCTTGGGTATGACACCAAAGTACAGGGAAAAAAATTAATAAATAAATGGATCTTCATCAAAATTAAAACTTTGCATCAAAGAACATTATCAACAGAATGAAAGGGCAACTCATGGAATGGGAGAAAATATCTGAAAATTATATGTCTGACAAGAAATAACATTCAGAATATATTTTAAAACTCCTACAGCTCAACAGCAACAACAAAAAGCAACCCCATTAAAAATAGGCAAAGGACTTGAATAGAAATTTCTCAAAAAAAGATATACAGATGGCTAATAAGCACATGAAAAGATGTTCAACAGTGCTAATCATTAGGAAAATGTGAATCAAAACCACAATGACATGCCACTTCACGACCATTAGCATAGCTGTTACTTAAAAAAATAAAAATAAGCATTGATGAGAATATAGAAAAATTGTAACCCTCGTGCATTGGGAATGTAAAAAGCCTTTGTAGGAAACGAAACTTCTGCATGATCCAGCACTTCCACCTCTGGATATGTACCCAAAAGAATTAAAATCAGAGACTTAAATGTTGGTACACAAATGCTCGTAGCATTATTCACAGTAGCCAAAAGGTGGAAACAGTCCAAATGTCCATCGGCTGTCCATCAATGGATAAACAAATGCGGTACACGCGTACACTAAGCTGTTAGTCAGCCTTAAGAAGGAATGAAATTTTGACACCTGCTACAATGAGGATGACCCCTGAGGACATTATGCTAAGTGAAATAAAAGAGACGCGAAAGGACAAACATTGTATGGTTCCACTTATATGAGGTAGCTAGAGGAGTCGGATTCCTAGGGACAGAAAGCAAAGGGTGGTTTCCAGGGGTGGGGAGAGGGGGAAGTGGGGAGCTACTCCTTCAGTGGACACAGAGCTTCAGCTTGGGAAGATGAAAACAGTTTTGGAGATGGATGGTGGTGATGGTTGCACAACATTGTGAACCTATTTAATGCCACTGAATTGTATACTTTAAAGATGGTTAAGAGGGTAAACTTCATAGTATATATATGTGTTAGCACAATAAAACAACAGCCAAAACTGTCTGCTTATGCCCCGACACTAAGGGGCCATTCGAGGCTTTACTCGGAGCTCCCTGCAGCCTGGAATGCGGCATAGATTTTCACAGGGCACTTGCAAATTGATGAATGCTTCCCGGACTCCCCGCTCCCCATTGTTTTTCAAAACCAGCATCATGCCATTTACCCAGGGAGATTCAAAGATTCCCTGAAGCCTCTAGTTCTTTAGGGACACCATGTTAGCAGCATCTTCAGTATATGTCATGAATGAATACGTGAAGTTGTGAATAGCAGCTACTCAAATACATCGTCATCAT